CTGAACAGGGTGGGACACGTGAACTTGAGCCTGTAAGGTAAGTCGAATCAATAGCACCCAGTTAAATCATCGAAACTTCGACTCCCGCTATCCAGTTAACTTTTGCCCACCTCGAGGCTTGCACCACCATACACCTGGCAAACAAAGCATCGCTCTCCTAGATAAGTGATGACCAGGCAGAAATCGCGCGCCTCCAAGCTAACACAACTTATTCAACATTATTTCATGTTCTAAAAAGTTACCCTGACCATTCCGGCTTAGTATACAATTGCGCACATCATCGTTGCTGACACGACGCTGTCTCTGCACATCAAAAATGATACGCGGGTAATGATGATCAAAAAAGAATTAAATGCGTTTTAAACCGTCTGACCGATGGGGAAAGTCCTACTGCCTCAAGGTAGGATAGCAACTACTGTGGCTTCGTACACATGGCCTTTCGAACCGAGATAAATTACACTCCGGTGCCACAAACGATACAGGTTTAAGAAGCCGGTCTTAGCTTTCGCAGGAGACGAACTTGGTTCAGCAGTCACCTGCTCATCGCTGCTGATGCAGCTGCCAAGGTGGGTGAATTGATCAACTACCTCGAGTTCTTCGTCGTCAAAAGTAGCTAGTGGTCCTGCAACAACAATGCACTGTGAAAATGCAAAGCGCACACCAAACGATGGGATTACGCCAGAGAGTTTATCCGGGAATGACAGAGCCGTCTCCTGACTATCAATCAAGGAGACCATATGATCGGCATAATCCAAACCAGTCAATGCTCCACTAGTAACACCTCAACGTCTGCATCGTGAGATGCTGTAAGGGAACACTTTATGATGGAACCCATGGAAAAGTTGGACAAAATGTGGAAATGGGAGAACATGGGAAAACGCCACTTGTAGTTGGAAAGAGTCTAACAACTGATCGCAGACGCTACCTGTGGTATTTGCTTACAGGGTAGGTTGAATGCTCACATGAGAACATCCTACTGAGAAAGCACACCGGAGAGAAGGTATGGATCGATTGAATCAAATATACAACTACGCTGTGTAGGGCCATATATATATATATATATATATATATATATATATATATATTCACAGTCTGTTAACAGATATCGTGCCATCAGAGCCATGGCAAAAGAAAAAAGTGAAGATAGGAACACGAACTGAGATTTAAGAAAATGGGAAACGATTTTTTTGGTTTTACACGCGCCATTTTGTATTCTTTTGTTTTGCTTTTTTTGAGATTTGTGTGTATTAAAGGGGGATATAATGGAAGAACAACACTGACCCCACTAATGTCTGTTGCGGGCCATGACGCCCAATGTTTCCAACCACTGCGATTCAGCATCTCGTGGTCCCCAACCTGGAAGACGGACTGGTCCGACTGCCGCCAAACTTGTGGTTGCCTTCTTCATGCTCCTTCTCCACGTCATTAGCTGTCCACCGCGGCGCTTATTCCAATCGCAAACAGCCCTCGAAGTGGAAGACGATGGGCTGGCACGCGCAAAACGTGCCCGAGCCAACGCATGCGATGCCGGAGAATAACGTCCTGAAGACTGACACTATTCACTCCAAGCACGCGGTCTCGCACCTCTGCGTTGCTTACGTGGTGTTGCCAACACACCCGAGCAATCCTTCGTAGACAGCGACGGTCGAAGACTGACAGCCGCTTCATGTCTTCCGAGCGAATAGGCCAAGTCTCACAGCCGTACAAGAGTACTGCACGGACGGAAGCATTGTACACCCTGCTCTTGAGCTTGAGACTGACATCACGATGACGCCATAAGTGTCTAAGTTTGATGAATGCAAGGCAGGTCTTTGAAATCCGTTGTGAGACTTCATCTCCAACACCGCCACCAGCCGTGATGCAACTCCCTAGATAAGTAAATCAAGGGACTTGCTCCAGAACATGTCCAGCAATGGTGAGCGCGGATTCAGGCACCTGCCAGTCCTGGAGCAGCGTTTCACATTTTCCCGGAGTGAAGCATAAGCCCTACTTAGACGCCTCCATCTCCAAGTGGTCCAAAGCGTTCTGGACGGTTTGTGTGTCGTCTCCCAGCAAGGCGATATCATCGGCGTAGTCCAAGTCCGTGACTCTGTCTCCAGGAAGGAGCTCAATACCGCAGTCCTGGACATCTTCCAGTGCTCTTTGGACATCTTCGATGGCGAAATTGAAGAGGAAAGGTGAAATAGGGCAACACTGGCGAACGCCGCTGGTCACAGCGAATGAAGAAGAGTGCGTGCCGTAAGTCCTGACTTTGCCCGACCTGTGACTGTAAAGTTCTTTCAGGATAGTTACAAACTTGTCGGGCACACCTTTCTTCAGTAAACAGTTCCACAACGCAAATCTGTCTACTGAATCAAATGTCGCACGGATGTTTAAAAACACTACGATTGTTGGCCGCCGGTAGATGTGACGAAGTTCGAGAAGTTGGCGAAACGTGAAGATTTGGTCGATGCAGCCGCGGCCTGGACGAAATCCGGCTTGTTCTTCTCGGGAAAACTCCTCTCTAGTCATTGAAAGCCTGCCAAGTAGGACAGACACGAAGATTTTGGATACGACAGAGATTAACGAGATTCCGCGGTACTTGCAGTAGTCGTCGCGGGAGCCCTTCTTGTGAATCGGAACAATGACCGATTCTCCCTATGAGTTCGAAACCTTCTCCTCAGTCCAAACTTTCATGAACAGCGATAAGATTTCGCTGACAAGTACACTCCCGCCATCTTGGAACGGAGCCGGTGGTAGGCTGTCGGGACCCGGAGCCTTGTTGCGTTTCAACGATTGGATTGCATTTCGAATCTCTGCTTCATTTGGGAAAGGGGGCTGGGGAGATAGGCAAAGAAGCATCATCCGTTTGGGCTGGAGGTGTCACTGGGGACTGTGTTGGGTGGTTGAATTGAAGAGCGAAATGCTCTGCTCAGCGACCCAATCGCATGTGAAGGTTGGTGGTCTTTGTGCCGTCTGGTTCGCAAATCGTCTGGCTGATAGCGTGAAAATTGCAACCAGTGGTCCTGATGATGTAAAATAGACGGTGGAAGTTGCCAGCTGATGCAGCGGCTTCCATCTCATCAGCTTGTTTTGACCACCACGATTCACGATCAGAGTGAAGGCTTGCTTTCAGCTGTTGCGTAATAGACCGGCGGTGTTCGTTGTACTCTGCACCAGCAGGCACCGCTCGTAAGCAATCCAGCAATTCGGAGGATCATCCCGAGATCCAGCTTTTGGGATTGAAGCGAGCGAGGCCACAAATGGACAAACCGGCCGACAGCAAGGCTTGTTGCAGACTTGACCAGTGTTGATGAACATCCAGAGTGTGAGTGAGGGCGAGATTTTCACGAAGCCTTTGTTGATACTCCTTCTTCACCATTGGGTCCTCCAAATTGTATGTGTTCAGTCGGGTGTTTTGATTTAGGCGAATCACCGAAACGCATGAAAACGGTCACACATACCAGTGCATGATCGGTATCGACGCATGTTGACCAAAATGATCGGCAGTCGCGTACGCTGCTCCGCCACCTGCGACTTATAGCTATGTGGTCAAACTGTGACAAGCGCTGGGTTGATGATGATAGGGGGCGCCAAGTGGCGTACTGGCGTCCAAGATGACGAAAGCTGGTGCTGGAGAGGAATAGTTGATGATCAGCACACAGACTGAGCAGCCTCTCTCCATTGTCTGAGCGAACATCGTCACATCCATGCAGTCCCCCGAGGTGGCGCTCACATGGTAGCAGACAACCGACACGCGCGTTGAAGTCACCTGCCAAAACAATGATGTCTCTTTTAGGACCCCTTAGGAGCAGCTCATGAAGGTTCTGGTAGAACTGGTCTTTGACGGTGTCCGAACTACAATCAGTAGGCGCGTAGGCAGAGATCACGCTTTACAACACGACGTCTGCTAACTGTACAAGAGCCATGTAACCGCATCGCACAAAAGCGGCTATTGATCAGAATCCAATCAATCAAAGCAGTCACGGCTCTAGCACTGAGTGCGATTCCAACGCCAGCTTGCCCAGATGCGGCAGACTCGGCGTCACCAAAGAGGCGGAGATGGAAGCGGGTGCGTGAATGGAGCGGTAAAACCAGCTGGTAAACCGAGTTAGAGTCCTGGAGTCATGTTTCATTCAGGTAGCAGATATCAATTCCAAGGCTCTCTAGCGTGCGTGTAAGTCCAGCTTGCTGACCGATCTGCAACAAGGTGCGTACGTTGAAGGCCGCAAGTTGGAACTGCGTTCCGGGTTGTAGGAGTGAAGATGGGAGACTTTGGGACTGGCAGCTCTTTGTTGAGCACTGTGTGGTTGAGTTGGCAGATATCACGGGAACAGGTTCACCGGTGTAGGTGGGGTTGATGGCCATAGGGGAATCAGGTAAAAATGGGTTTGAATGGTACAAGGGTAGGTAAAGTGGCGTGTGCTTGTGAAGTTGGCATAGTAACATGAGAGAATAGCATAGTAGCAGCAAGAGAGTGGGTGAATAGTTGTGATTGTAAGTCCATGGGTAGTAAGGCCAAGCCATGCGTGAAAAACCCATAAAGCTCGTTGGTTATGATAACGCCCACCGGTAAGCACATGCTATGATTGGGACAAGAAGCTATGGTGCAGAGATCATGCCACCGGAATCATGACGGGATATGAAAATAGGATGGAATAATTAAAAAACAGGCAACCAGTTTGTCCAGTTCCCCACTCACCGTTTCTGGAGTGGGACTCTCGTGTTGAATGGTGAGCTACAATCAGGATACAGCCGATTCCCTCAAAGCGATAACGCTCAAGATGACAACAAAGGAGATTAAAAGCTTTAAAAAGCACCCTATATACAGTGCAGTAAATGCATCATATGTGGGTTGGGACTTGTGCATGAGACGGTTGGAAATAGTGTTATAATTGTGGAGGATATGAATTGGCGAACAACTGACGTCCGAAAATAGAAATATGGTGGCTGAATGTATTGAAGCGCATCGGAGTCGAGGCATGTGCACAACAGCAGGGGAAAAGCAGAAGACCAACGAATGTACATGTATCCATTTATTTTCCCAAACAGTATGCCAGACGCGCAACCCAATTCGAAGCAACGTCAAAAATGAGACCAGAAGCGGTGGGGGCTGAAACCATGCGTCTGAGAATAAGGAAGTTAAGGGTCGATCAATCGAGGGCTAAAATGTGTCTGTACAGGAAATCAGCTGGTGAAATGACAAGATGGAACGAGTGAAAGGTAAAGATGCACATTAGTAGTGAAGTCAGAGGCATACAACACCTACAAGGAAGAAACCGACTGGTAGAACTCAGGAGACAGACTGTGAGGATACATACGGAATGGTTACACACGACTCTCGGATGAAAGTTAAAACCACACAGGTCGCTGATCAAATGAGCAGCGAGAAGGCAGAAGTGTGCACAATCATCCGAATGAGCTGCAGTTGTGGTGGTGCACCAAGACAGAAGTTGGCCTCGATTCTTGGCACATCAGACCGCTTCATAACTCTGTTGTCCAAGTAGGAGGTAAGACAGTAGGATAGCGGAAAGCAAAATTGCAGAGCTGAGAATCCAAAACTTCGGGTTCGAAAAGGACATAACTGAAAAGTAGAACAAGTTCGAGCATGGCATCAGTACATATTGATTGACAAAGGGAAAGAATTTAGGTGGTAGACACGCCCAATGTTCTACCATGATGCGACACTTGCACACGATGAGGGGTTATGAGGTTATCATGGCAAATGAGAGAAAAAGTGACAAAATTGATAGGCTGGAGAAATACAACCAGAGTCTACATCAAATGATACGCCCAGTGAGGCTGTTGAGATTTTCATCGAATGGTTACCGGTCTGAACATCTGATGACAGATACTGGCATCGGTTCACAAATGTGTAACTTAGTTGGGATACCAGTTGCCAAAGTCAACGATGGTAGGAAGAAATAACAGAGGTAACGACCTTGAGGGTGACCGGGTGACACAATGACGCTCGGTCTCCGTGAAGCTCACACTGAAGTGAGCCCAAGGGAGAACAACACCAGTCGGTGAATGCGACGAAGTGTACGTAGTACATGTCACGTCACAGACAACCAGTGCAGCTCGCCGTCGCAAGCATGATTTGATGCCAACAGTGTGCTTTATTGCCCTGAACCTAATAACGTCAGCCATCAAGAAAACTGTTTATTAGACATCGATCGTCAGATGAAGAACGGGCACACTCTCAAGGCCGCAGGTGATGCTGTCGGCACTTCCGCAAACTGAAATTCGCCAACTGTAATTTGGTGGCAGTTGCAAAACGCACGCTTACGTCAATGAGAACGAGGTGGATAAACAAAGCCATTCGTTCGCTGGGAGAATAGAACGAGTAGCGTGGGCAAATGTGCGAAGATAGGTTCAACAAGTCGAAAAATAAACGGAGTGGAAATTTGGAACAGTTAGTTCCCTTTAGTTATTTGAAAAGCGCAGTAAGAAGACGAAGACTGGCAAATGCACGCATTTCGTATTGTCTCATCAGTGCCTTTAACAATAACTCGCAATAATATTTATTCAGTGAAGGGTGCGACCAAACATACATACAAACAGACAAATAGACCAACACATGATAAGTGAGACAGGGTTATCACCCCTATCCCCAAGGCAGTCTAATGCTGACCGATAATTGTTTCTGAACACAAAGCATCGGCTTAATCCGGTTATTTGCAATCGCCTCTGCGAAACGGAGGAGGCGAGAATTGGTGTGTTGTAATAGGATTGTGAACGCCGAATTGACCTCGACTCGGTGACCTGTGGTCAACAGGTGTCGGCCGATCGAAGAGGCTGGTGGCTTACGCAGACAAGCAGCTTGACTCTGGCCAGTTTCCTGCGCGGTCGAACGTTGAACCCACTTAGGTATATGCTCCTTCATTCGGGAACTCAATGTTCTATCGGTCCTGCCTATGTAACTGTGATGCCTTGTAGTCATCTAAGAACAGCTCCCCCGTCGGATGTACTGAGGAGAACCGCAGAACACCAACTACTGTGTGAAACTGTTCACCTATATGTAGTCAGCCTGGTGGCAAAGCAGTACGGCGCTTAGCTGCAACGTGACAGCCATCAGCCGCGTGTAGGCCAGAAATACTGCGACGTGGCCCATGGATCAGGGGGCAATACGCCTGAATCACTCGGCCACCGATCAATCGAGTAAAGTGTCTGCAGACTTCTTTATAACAAGACGTGGTACAAAATGATCCAGAGACAGTGTGTCTAAAAGGACTGTAAGCACTTGCTAAACGAAAGGAAAATGGCCAAGAACAGACGCGGTTACGATCGGAGAGGTTAGAAAAGGTGACGATGTGAGGAAACTCAGTGCAGTAAGTTCATGTAAGAACTCACTTGTCGTCAAATAGGCATTTATAAAGTCTACATGCTGAACGGACAATTCAGTGTGTTCGGAAGGTTAATTGTCAAACACCAATTGGTGAGTTCAGAAATCACTCAGTCTGTGGCAACTTCACATATTATCAATGCCTTGCAGAAAAGTAGTCCACAATGGATCATAGTTTAACCCCTTAACGCTGTGTCGCGAAAACGCACCAAACCACTGCTTGCTAAAAGGTAACTTACAGTGCAAACAGTCTCCTTTAGCACCGGTAGTGACATTTTCGGGGCGTTGATTGGACTCTATTTGGATTCTATCTGTATGATAGTGCCCCGTACTTTGCGTTTGATTTGAAGTTACAACTACTTGAAAGTAGTGAGAGTATGAACGTGGGTTTTACGTGAATTTCGTTTCATAGTTCTGAGGACCTTCCAAAATTTCAGGTAAGTTATGCTGAAGCAAAAGCCATTTACTCGCGTATTGTTCGCTGCTACTATTACTATACTAGAATGCATTATCTGAGATGGAAAGTTGAAAAGTTATTAGCAACAGTATGGTTGTCCTGTTTTCGCTACACACGGCGCTACTGGTGGCATACGAAAGAAACTGCATTTAAACGCATCGTTTTATAAACGGATTTTCTGTGCATATATTTTAAATATTATGATGTAGTTTTGCTTCCGATTAATTGATACAATTTTCCCAGTGCTTTAATTTTGAGCTAAAAATGTAATTCCGATGCTTTCATGTTATTGTATAGGAAAAATTTGGCTGTATATTCGACGTAGTTGAAACATTTCGCCCATTCTTTCTAGGTAGAAAAAAAGTAAACATGCCAACTACCTACGGCAAACGAGCAGTCATGTTAGGCAAGCAATCAAGTTTGAACACAGCTTCCACCAGTTGAAAGTGGCGACGGCAATCTCAGTGACAGCGCTGATGGCGATGGAGATAACATTCCAACACACGTACAACCGCTTGATGATAGAAGCAGCAGCAAGTATAGCGCAGATGACGGGAAGTGAAGAACTGCACGGCAACAATCAGCATGCGACACTGTATAATAATTCATGAACTTCGTTGATGCTTTAGATGCACAGAAGGTTCATTATCGGATCGATGTAAGGTCTCGAAAATACTATCAGGGGCGTTTTCCATTTCTTCATGGTATTAGTCAACAGTTGGTTACTCTAGTGACGTGACTGCAGCTCACTCATCGGTTGTGTCCCCACTGCTTGCTTTCAGACTAGAGTATGATGCCTTCGCAACTTAGCTCATGTCTGGTGGGAGCACCGCGTGAGCAATGAGCGTGTTCGGCGTAGCAAATTTGGTGCAGGAAAAGCGAGTGAACCGCTCAGCACCATTATATCACGCATCAGGCTCCGATGACTCGGCCACGTGGCATGCATGCCAGCACACCGACTCCCGCGACGTGCATCGTTTGCGCGTTGTGGGTGTGGTTGAAAGAGGATGAGCGGAGTCCAAGTGATGACTTGGTCGAGAGAAATGAAAACCCTCACTTCGAAGTTGGCGTCGGTTGGTGCATCCGGACTGCCTGGCTGGAGTTCTGAGAATGATTAACACGTTTGGTTGGACACACTTGTTGAGATGGCGAAGAGCCGACTCTAATGGCGTTCGTGTTGAGAGTCTCTTTGTCTATCCCCTTTCAATTAAGAACTCATATGGTATGGATAATATAATATCTATCCTTGGATTGCTTTCTTTTTGAATGCTTTGTAGTGTAATTTTTCAGTACCTGAATACTGTATTGTGAGAGCAAGTAGGTTAAACGTACAACATCGAAATATGCTCGAAAACGTTAGGATAGAAAACTATGACTTGTCAATTCGCTGATCGTTTTTCACATTCTCACGTTATATCGTTAAAAAACCGTTTAACTCACAGTAGATTAAGTCTCAAAAATGCGAGATGACTGTGGGTAATCGTTCATGAAATCTAATATTTAAGAAATGCACATCCAATGATCGTTTGAATAGCTGCACTGAGTTCGTTTTCATAATATGTTCCGGTAAACCGACATTTGCCCCTCACCGTTCCAAGCACAGGCGATGGGGAACTCGCCTTATGTCCGGAAGCACAAGTTTGTATTGGTGTCCGCGTGTGCTGCAAGGCGTTCGCAAGTGGAGCAGTGGCCTTAGCATGGGGAAGTCGCCTACATGTAGAATGCGTTAGGTTATAATGAGGCCGACAATTAACTGATGGTATACCAGGGTGAACAGTCCCAGTCTCTCGCACCTGTCCTCGTACGGTAAGCCTCGCAAACTGGGGATGCGCCTAGTAGAGACGTGTTGAACCCGTTCAATAATCTGCGCCTCGCCGCGGGTGGACGGGCAATAGGCGGGCAAGCCGTACTCCAACAATGATCTGATGATGGAGAAGAAGAGGCGAGTGGCAACCTCTGCAAACCAGATGGAAAAACTAGGTTTGAATGCCCGAAGCATGCGCATGCCATTGATTATGCCTGATTTGGTGTACCTCGATAGATTCGACAATAAAGCATTTATTTATTTATATAGCCTGTTCGTGTTGTCAACGGACTTCAAGTCGCAACGTGAGAGTACTCCTAGATCATTCACAGAAAATGTGGGGTGTAGCAGTTGGCCGTCAAGTGTAAATTCGGCCGTCACCACCTTTCCCCATGCTCATGAATACCGACTTGGATGCGTTGACCGGGAAACGGATTTCAGCAAACCACACGGAAAGGCGGTTTAGGTCTTATTGTAGTAAGCCGCATCCGTCGGGTGTGCACTCTGCATATCTTCAGGTTGTCTGCAAACAGGGCACACGGCGACCGAAGAAGCTAAGGTAGGTCGTTGATATGAATCCGGAAAAATGCAGGCTCCAGCACCATGTCTTGGGGTACGCCACTGGTTGAAGGGATCCAGTTGGTCAAGTGGCTATCGACTTGTACCCTCCACTTTCGTCCAATGACAGTCTTGGATCCACTGGTGTAGAGATCCACCAACACTACACATTCAGCTTTAGAAGACCTCAGCGTCCACCTAGTTGAACGCTTTGCTGAAATCGATGTAGATCACCGATTTCCCTTGGTTCACTGCCTGCATCCATTCATGCCTCGTCACGAGCAGGTTATTGATGCATGAAGGTCACATCAGCTGAGGTGTGACTCTCACCTTCAGCTAACGTGCATGATGATGCTTGGCACAGTCACACCAAGTGCAAGGCAGACAAGTCGAAAGGGAAGAGAGGAGGGCCTTCATCGT